CCGAGTCTCCAGTAAAACATAAATACATGCTGCACTATGCATTATGTAACTTGTTTAAGAAAATTAGCTCTTGGGCCTCCCCAGTGGTGCAGCGGTTGAGCGCTGGGTTGTGAAGCTGCCCGCAGCCTCTGCAGCGCGGGTTTGATCCCCGGCTGCTCCCTGGCCACCAGAGGAGGGTCCCACATGGTGCGCAGACCTCTCCTGCCGCCCGCTGCTCCCCTCAGCAGTGTACTTCGGTCCTTCTGCCTGCTCTGCTCCCTGCTCTGGCTCTGGTGAATCCTCTCACCCTCCCGCACTTCTGACTGTACCCAGTGCTTGTATAAATAAATATAAATAAATGTCAAATAAATAAATAAACGGGCCTTCTTTAAAAAAAAAAAGAAAGAAAATTAGCTCTTGGGTCTTCATAATAATACTATGCGGAAGACAGTGTTCTTATTCCCATGAGATGTTGTAGCATGCAAGGTTAAGAAGTTGGGGAGTGTTTGGATTCAAGTGTAGGGATATGTGTTCAGAGTCCATAGCTTTGACCATGTGCTTAGATGCATCCAATCTCCTTGCAAACCTCTCCCTAGTGGGTCTCACTTTTCACTCCACCGCAGCTTCAGGTTCACTTGGTCAAAACCTAGAATTTGTAATTGACAGTGCTATAATTTCTTATCTGAGAACTTTGCGACTTTGGAAATCAGGATTTTAAAATTTGAAAGGTACATCCTCATATTTTGCATATACATATATACTAGTGAAGTATGTGAAACAAATGACTACATTCCTGCTCCTACAGCAGATCATGAATATCGAGACAGAGTGGTAAGAAATGAGCTCTAGAAATGACTTCATATTAGTACAGCTCAGTTTTTACCACCAAATAATTTAGACGCATTGTTGTTGACTCTGAGAATCAGAATCCCTAGTTATGCAAACAAATCCCCCTTAGTTTTATTATGGAGCAATCCTGAGGGTAAAAGAAATAACCCAGGGCCTACCTGGTGGTCCAAGGGTTAAAGTCTCAGCATTACCACCGTGTTGGTCTAAGTGGACTGAGTTCGATTCTTGATCAGGGAGCTAACCCCCATTCCACAACAGACCTCTCCTGTCTTGCCTGCTGTTCCCCTTAGCAGTGTATTTCAGTAGATCTGTCTTGCCCTCTGTCTCTGGTGTATTATCCTCTCAACCACCCCCCCCCATCTCACACCTCTGACCTACACCCCAGCTCTTCTATGCAAAAATAAATAAAATAAATGCAAATCTTATAATAAAGGGATAATTCTTAAAAAAAAGAAATGATCCAGTTTGTGAGTCTTTACCAGCATGCTTCAGAATACAAGAAAGACCCAAAGTAGATATACAGAGAGAGACACAAAGTGTTTATTTATATAGAGGAGTAAGATCAGGAATAGCTAAGAGAGGGGAGAAGGAATTTTATTGGTCAACATGTTGCTAGATGCTACCTGTTCTACTCCAGATAACATTTGCTTAGCAGAGACTGGCGTGAAAGCTGGTGCCATCTACTGAGCAGATACAAAGGTACAAGCCAGAGCTTGCACTTTCAGTCCACAGGGCAGGACAGCTGTAAGAAGGAGCTACAGGAAAGAGATGCCATCTGATGCCAAGCAGAGATAGGGCGCAAGAAATAACTACCTATGTTGAAAAGAGAGACCAGTCTCCAGTGCTCTTTTTTTTTTTTTTAAGATTTCTTTTTTATTTATACAAGAACTGGGGTCCAGGCCAGATGCGCGGGAGGATGAGAGGATTCACCAGAGACAGAGTGGGGAACAGAACAGGCAGATCTACTGAAATACACTGCTGAGGGGAGCAGCGGGTGAGACAGGAGAGGTCCGCAGCGCCATGTGGGTTGCTCTGTGGCTGGCGGGAATCCAACCGGCACTGCAGAGGCTGCGGACAGCCTCACAGCGCTGTGTTCAACCGCCTGAGCCACCAGGGAGGCCCTGCTCAGTCTTTTTAATGTCTGCTTGGCGGCTCCACTCCACCCCTACTTCCCAGCAGACCTCATTTGAAAAGTCAGGGGGTGGAGTAACAAGCTCCAGAGCTCTTATGAAGCTGCCATGAGCATTACCCACTGGTTCAGGGGCGGCTCCTTTAACAGTTTCTGCTTCTTTTTCTAACTCTAATTAAACACTTTCCAATAAATACATCAATTTCTCAGTTTTCAGTACAATTGATTAGATAAGTGATTATTTTTTGAAGATACATTTTAAATATTCAAATCAGTTAGAGAGGCTCTCTGAGCTCTTGATAGTATTTTAGAGATGGTTAGGTCCATCAAAGCAGCTGGTTTCAGATCTTGCTCTCATGTTTTTGTTCAAAAGATTTAATGCTCTCAAGTTGGTTTGAGTCTGTTATACCAGTAGCATTTCTAAACCTGTCCCAGTTGGGTCCTGAAAGTTGTAGAGGGCTGGTGAAAGAGGAAGAGGTATAAATCTTGATGGCTTATCATAAGAGTTAGCTAAGCTAGAGTAATGGAAAATCAGAGCTGATAAAAAAGTGAAAGATATCTAGCTCTTTGTTTTATAAACCAATTTATGGATATCTAGGGTTCAAACAAGGTTCTTCCTGACCTCCCACAGGGCTCTAGGCCTCCCACTTTGTTCCAATTTTAGATCACCAGAGCTTGGCTTCTCCACCCCCCAGCCCCCCCTCGCCCCTACTTGGCATAATATTTCCTTGGCATTATTTTCTTCTGTTAGAAAAAGTCTGAAAATCCCAACTGTTTTGTTTCACTTCTACCTTCTTTCCCTTTTCCTAGTACATATTATGTAGAAATTCTATAATTTTAAAGCAGTAAATTAGCCTATTCTGTTTGTAGTTTTACCTTAGTCTGTTTGTAGGAAGCCCCTTTTATTTACACCTGTCTGTCTATGTGCTGTCTGTACTATCACAAGTTATTACCTTTCACATTCTAATACTTTTTACAATTTTGTATCCATACATCAATTTCTTCATTTTCTTGTTTTAGGTTTTTCCCTCTCTCGAGACTGCAAACTTCATTAGGTTAGGTATCATATCTTTTTGTTCATTATTTTAAAGCTGGCTCCTGAAACTCAATAAATATTTATTAAATGGATGAATTAATTGACAAATGACAAGTAATGGAGGGAGATATAAAGCTATTTTTCTAGCCAAAGCAGCAAATATTACGAGTTACTTTTGGTAACTTGAGCAATTATATCCTCAGAGGAATTCTGGCAACGTCAAGAGACAATTTTTGAGGGCCTCCCCTGGTGGCGCAGCGGTTGAGCACTGGCTTGCGAAGCTGCCCGCAGCCTCTGCATCGCCGGTTCGATCCCTGATCCCTGGCCACGGGCGAGGGGCCCACATGGCACACAGACCCCTCCTGCCGCCCGCTGCTCCCCTCAGCAGTGTACCTCTTCGTCAATCTGCCTGTTCTGTTCCCCACTCTGGCTCTGGTGAATTCTCTCACCCTCCTGTGCTTCTGACTGTACCCAGTGCTTGTATAAATGGATGAATAAATCTTTAAAAAAGAAAGAAAGAAAGAAAGAATTTAAAAAAAAAAAAACAGACAATTTTTGATTTTCACAACTGGGCGGATTTTATTGGCATCTACTGGTACCTAATAAAACTGATGCTGCTGACAACTTTCAATGTACAGAAGAAAGCCCCCCATTAAAGTGTTATCAGAACTCAAATATCACTGGTATTAAAGTGGAGAAATTCATCCTAGACCTTTGCCTATGAAAGCAAATAACATTATTTAACAAAATCAGACTTCCAGGAATCTGAAAGATTATGGGTTATGAATACTTATTTTTTGGAATGGCAATCAGAAGGTAAAATGGATTAACACCATAATCTACAGACTTTATAACTTAAAGCAAGTTCACAACTAACAGATCACATCTCTGTTTTGGAAAGTCTTGAACCCTTCTTTAGAAGGTTAGATAATATTTTTCCTTGTTTTCCGGTGTTCCAATATTCCAAAAAGAGGCAAATTATAAAAAGGAAAAAAAGTGTTTCTATTTCCCACTGGTCTTTATTCCAGTTAATCTTTTCTAGCTCAGAAACAGAAAGTTGTATCATCTGGCACCGCAAATGATTGTGCAGTCAAGAGTGCACACAAGAGTACACTGCCCTTTTTTCATGCGAATGAAGACACGTTATAGATCTATTTCTGATGAAAATGCCTTGAAAAGAGAACTGATGTCCTTTCCCCTAGCAGGGACAGTAGTATCCAGGAAACACTGGTGCATTGAAGTACTATGTTGTTTTAAAATGCTTTTGCACAATGTATTTAATTGATTTCATGTTGTACTTAAATTACATTTTCTGCTTGCTGGTAGCCAATACAGATGCAAAAAATAATTCTTAGCAAGAGAGAAAATGCTAAGTATTAACTCTCATTGTTTTCACTTTATGTCTATAAGAAAAATCCAATAAGGTATAAATTTAGAATTAAAAATAAGTGAGGTTCAAGTATAAGAAAAAAAGAAATCTTTGCCTTAAAAGACATAATGACTAACAGAATTTAATGTAAGAGCAGTGTGTTGTAGAATAACTGTTAATAATCAATGTTGAAAATAATCATCCAAGTTCACACCTTGCTCTGTAGGGATTCCACCTAAGGATTATCCCAATGATTGGCACTTACTTAAATCTGGAAGGACTGTGTGCTTTGTGCAATAAAGCAGGACCACAACATAGAGGTAAAGATAAAAGGAAGTGATCCTTCAACTCCATAATTACTTTCCAAACCACTGCCTGTTGCAAAGAAGAACTCTGGAGGTAAAAATAAAACTATATTTTCATGACTCAATGGGAATTTTTATCAAATATGACAACCAGGCATTAGTCAGTTGAAATTAACACCAGTAAAATTGTACTATGCATTTTTTGCTGTATTTTAATTTAGTATAAAATATTTCCATTTACTTTAGAATTAGAAAATCATTAGTAATGGTATCTGCTAATTTTCTCAGGTATTCTGGTGTGTTTATGTTTTTTTCCCCAGGAATACTAAAAATTAGACTCCCATATACTTTGCTATAATCAAGAAGAACAGAATTCTCAAATGCAAACTGCAACATCATGAGCAGCAACTCGTCCCAGCTTGCAGCCTTGCAGCTCTGCTATGAGAACGTGAACGGATCCTGTGTGAAATCTCCTTACTCCCCTGGACCCAGGGTGATTTTGTATGCAGTCTTTGGCCTGGGAGCTGTGCTGGCCGTGTTTGGGAATCTCCTGGTGATGATTTCAATCTTTCATTTCAGGCAGTTGCATTCTCCGACCAACTTTCTCGTTGCCTCTCTGGCCTGTGCTGACTTTCTTGTGGGTGTGTCTGTGATGCCCTTCAGCATGGTCAGGTCCATAGAGAGCTGCTGGTACTTTGGGCGAAGTTTCTGTACTTTCCATACTTGCTGTGATGTGGCCTTTTGTTACTCTTCTCTCTTCCACTTGAGCTTCATCTCCATCGACAGGTACATTGCTGTGACTGACCCTCTGGTATATCCTACCAAGTTCACGGTGTCTGTGTCCAGGCTGTGCGTCAGCATCTCCTGGATCCTTCCCCTTGTGTACAGCGGTGCTGTATTCTACACAGGTGCCTATGATGACGGGCTGGAGGAATTATCTAGAGCTGTCAACTGTATAGGAGGCTGTCAGGTAGTTGTAAATCAAAACTGGGTATTGATAGATTTTTTAGCCTTCTTTATACCTACCTTTATTATGATAATTCTCTATGGTAATATTTTTCTGGTGGCTCGACAACAGGCTAAGAAGATAGAAAATACTGGTAGCAAAACAAAGTCATCATCAGACAGCTATAAATCCAGAGTGGCCAAAAGAGAGAGAAAAGCAGCTAAAACCTTGGGTATCACAGTGATAGCATTCATGATTTCATGGTTACCATATAGTATCGATTCATTAGTTGATGCCTTTATGGGCTTTATAACTCCTGCCTATATTTATGAGATTTGTGTTTGGTGTGCTTATTATAACTCAGCCATGAACCCTTTGATCTATGCTTTATTTTACCCATGGTTTAGGAAAGCCATAAAGGTTATTGTGAGTGGCAAGATTTTCAAGGACAGTTCAGCAACTATGAATTTGTTCTCTGAACAAACATAAGCAAGTGGTTCTAGGAAGTTGAACGTAACTTTCTAGTTTCCAATTGAAAAGAGTTTTTAAATAAAGACAATTGAAGGGAAATCAAATTTGCTCTTCAGATTTAATAGGATATATCATTGTTTTTCACTCTTGTTAGAATATGCACTTCCCTGTCACTTCTTCAAAAATATTTGCTTCTGAGATCAGCATACCCTTAAAGAGACTTCCCTCTGTTTCTCCTGTAATCCTTTGAAATCCCCTTTGTATCCTGAAAACATCTTTGATTCTTTGATTTCCTTTCCTCTTTGTCTTACAAAATTTTCTTCTCATTTCAAAAATCTCTGAATAGTTTTCACCTGGCTATTGATTTTTCCCCCCCAGGGTACTTTGGGTAGCAATTAAATCAAATGCACATAATGTCTGCTTGGTCTCTGTGTTAAGAATTCTCCCAGCATCCATCTCCTGTCTCCTGCCCCCTGCATACAGCACTGCCATGTTCTGCATGGGTGCCTGTGAGTAGAGGCAGAGGAACAAACAGTACACCATAAACAATTGTCAGCTTTGGCATAAATTAAGTTTGGACATGAAGAGATTTCTATTTTTTTTTCTTCTGGCTTTCTTTAGATGATTCTGTAAGAAATATACTTTGTAATTAGAAGACAGACTAAAATATTGAAAAGATTGATGGAAAAGAGAGTCACATCAAAGACCAATATGTCAAAGAGAGAAAGCAAAGGCGCTAAACCCTATGGATCACAATATGGCATTTTTGCTTTTGTGATTACAAAAGTGATTGATTCATTTATTAATTTGTGGTGGAAGGGAAGGTTTATAACACCTTATTATGTTTAAGAGCTATTTTGCTCATTCAATTATTGTAACTGCTCTTATTCTTTTGATTTAACTTTAGTTTACCCTTAGCTTATAGAGTATTAAAACTTGCCATATATAGTCAAGTATTAAAAGATAGCTCATCAACCATTTTTAAATTTTTTATAATGTTCTATTTCAAATGATAATTTGAAAAATGTGAAATGGATCTGGTAATACACTGGCATTTCCAATAACTGTGATATGAAAAACTGCAGCTCATTTAATGAACAGAGTGCAATGAAATGATTTTTAAATTAGGGAGGAGAAATGGTACCTCAATTAAATCTTTAAAAAAAAAAGAAATGGTACCTCAATTTCAATAGCATAAACTTTATGCTTTTAGTTTCTTAGTGAACGTCTTGACATTGTATAGAAATTTATGTACTAAATAATGAAGGACATGAATCTATGCACTTTTCTGCTGTCAGTTGCTAATTATTTTGTTCTTCCAGATGTTCTGTGCCTTCTTCCCTTTCCACCAGGCTTATCTTTCTTTCACTTTCAAAGGGCTCATTGTTCCATGTAAAGTCTTCTATTCCCTGTCTTTCTCTGTTCACTTTCTTTCTATTTTGAGCAGCTTGTTTCATGGAGACTGGGCTCTGAGTCATAGTTTCATAGTCAGGAAAGGGCTCATGTATTATATTTAGGGGATATTTTATAAGTGGGAATAACCATGAGCAGATCATGCAATTTTTGTCACAGTGATTGTCCTTTTATGTGACTGATTTCTCATCCCATAAGGTTTATTGCCTTTCCTTCCAGTCATTATGAAGGCAGTTTTCTGTTTTTCTAACAACACTGACCAAAGTTTATACCTTGTCTATGATAAAATAAAAAGCACTATAACCTGGGGCTTCCCTCATGGCACAGGGGTTAAGTCTTAACACTATCAAGTTATCACCTGCCACTGAGGCATGAGTTTGAGCCCCCACGAGGGAGGTGACCCACTTGGGTGACCCCAAGGAGATGACCCACATGACCTGCTGCTGCTTCCCTCAGCAGTGTATTTCAGTAGATCTACCTGTTCTGCTCTGCACTCTGTCTCTGGTGAATCCTCTTATCTGCCTGCTCCTCTGGCCTACACCCCAGTTCTTGTATGCATAAATAAATAAAAATAAATGTTTTAAAAACTATATCATAAATTATGGAAAAATAATATATTACTCAAAATGTGTTGTCATATATAAGTTTTTAGAAAAATATTGCTTAACATCTCTCTTCATGTGTTTCACAAAATCAAAACTTGTTCCTTATAGATGTCAAAAAATTGAAAACCTCCAGTTATAAGATAAATAAGTACTAGGAGTATAATGTACTAGATGATGACTACAATTAACAATGCTGTTTTTCCCTGGAGAAAAACAGTAGATCAACATGGGTCAAGATTTAAAAAAAAAATCCTGCTTAAGTAATGGGATGTTATAAATCCATTAAAGAACACTAAGTAAGAAGTTCTATGTAAATTGACAATGAAAGACAGCCACAATCTATTTTTGACTAAACACAAGACAAAACCAAAAACTCTGGCCCCATTTATAAAACTCTGTGATATGATCACATACATGTATGTACTTAAATATGTGTTCTCAAAGTGTAACTGTATGTATAATGGAGAGTGTGCGGGTACATGAGCAAGGAATTAAATAAATGTGTTAAAATTAACATTGCCAATAAACATTTCTATTCTTACCTGTGCATTGAAACCAGGTTTGCCTTGTTTAAGCTTTAGTTTTTTTTTTTTAGGAAAACATCTTTTGAATATGTGTTCTGGTATATTTTTTCCTACCTAATGAAACTAACTTGTAGCTGCAATAATATAGTTTAGTAGTTTAGTAACAACATTTTTAAGTGATTAATATATAGTTTAGTAACAACATTTTTAAGTGATTAATATATTTGAGGATGTATATATAGTATTGATAAATGAATTTTCAATTTTTTTTGCTTTTTTGCAGTAGATCTTTAAGATCCTCCAACTTTCCCACTTAATATTAACCATTTGCTATATTCAGAAGCTGTGGAATTTAGCAAGAGTCATCCTTCAACTTTCCATAATACTACTATGTTATTTCTTGAAGAGTAGTCAACAGCTATAGTGGATAAGTTGGGTATAATGTGGAAGGGGAAAATCTGGATAAGAAGGAGAATTCCTAAAGAAAGATTGCACCAAGGTTTGAATCAGAAAGCATGGAGGACAATTCCTGTCATGTCATGTCAGATAACCTGCTGAGCCTCTCTGTGTCAGATTACTCATCTCTAAAATGAATGAAATATTACCCACCACTGAGATGTATAATAAAAAAGAGACTAGAAAGGACTTAGCTTACTATAAGAACTCAGTAATTATATATTAACTGATCATATAAAATGGCATAGAATAGATATATACTATAATTGATAATAATATGGCATAAGATAGACAGGTAGATGGTTAGTCAGTGGGTGGATGGATGGATGGATGGATGGATGATGGACAGACAGACAAACTATTACCAAAAATCATGAGAACCAGTTACGATCTTTTCCATCTTTAGCTTCACTTTTAGGAACTTAAAATGTTTGTTGATGGTATTTAAACTGGGTGAGGAGGTGAGTATGACATCTACCAGATGAGAGGTGAAAGGATAGTGGTTGCTGGCATTCTAGAACACATGAGCCTGAAAGAGGATCAGATTTCAGGTGTTCATACAACTTTGAATCCAGAATCTCCCCAACTCTTAACCTCTCAGGCCATAGTCATCTCAGATGTGATATGGGTTTAATAACACTCTATTCCATAGGAGTCAATTTTCTGAAACAAGCTATTTAATATGTAATGTAGTAAGTGTTTGTGTCTTCCAGGTTGGTGTACAGAAAGCAGTGCTAGAGAGAATGACAGAGTGCTGGGTATTAAATTTAAGATGAAAAAGGGAGAAGGAAACCAGAGTTAGTGAATGATAGTACTGAGAAAGGCAGAAGTGATACAATCTGATGATCTCTGGGATTTGGGGAAGAGGAAAACCATGAGGAAGAACAAGGAGGATGCCCAACTCATTACTTCCCCTACTAGGAAGCAGAGTCCTCAAGGGCAAAGGCTTCTGGAAGGTGCTGGAACCTAAACAGAAGCAAACATGTTTATAAAGCTATTTCTCCAAACATACACTTTTTAATGGCTTGGAACCCTAAAAGTTGTATCTAAATATCAGTTGGGGAAATAGTGGTGGATTATGGCAAACTTCTTATTGTTCAGAGAAAAATGAGAAAAAGAAGAATGGAAAACATGATTGCAATGGAAAGTTTATTCTATTTACAGGACTGTCCTTTGGGTTATGTTATAAAAGTGTTCCCTAATAAAATACACTTATGTTATCATGTCATAGTATATAATAGTACTCTCTGCACTTAAAGCTGCTGTTTCTGTGTCTTGAAGTAACAAAGGCACTATCTGCTGGTTTCCAAATTTTTGTCAAGTTATGTTGAAACCAAGTTTCTAGGATCCACTATCCAGATCCGTTTTTATTTTAATTTTATTTATTTTAAAGATTTATTTATTTTTTATTTATTTATAGAAGCACTGGGTACAGTCAGAAGCGCGGGAGGGTGAGAGAATTCACCAGAGCCAGAGCGGGGAGCAGAGCAGGCAGAAGGACCGAAGTACACTGCTGAGGGGAGCAGCCGGTAGCAGGAGAGGTCTGCGCGCCATGTGGAACCCTCGCCGGCGGCCAGGAATCGAACCGGCACTGCAGAGGCTGCGGGCAGCTTTCGCAACCCAGCGCTCAACCACAGTGCCACCGGGGAGGCCCCTATTTATTTTATTTTTTTAAAAGATTTATTTATTTATTTTTATATAACTGCTGGGGTATAGGCCAGAGGTGCAGGAAGGTGAGAGGATTCACCAGAGGCAGAGCAGGGAGCAGAAAAGGCAGACGACAGAAATACACTTCTGAGGGGAGCAGCGGGCAAGATAGGAGAGGTCTGCTGCGCCATGTGAGATCCACGCTGGCCTGCTGGGATCAAACCCTCACTGCAGAGGCTGCAGACAGCTTCACAGCGAGGCGCTCAACTCGCTGTGCCACCGGGGAGGCCCCCATTTGTATTTTTAATAACATAGGTGATTGTTTCTATAGGAAAGCCTTTTATTATTCCCCTCAAAACAAAAGAGAGACACATCTGGTCAACTCCAGGCATAAAAACAGTGAGAGTGAAAATGAATGATAATTCATCTGACATGTCCAGAGAGTCAGTTACCTGGAGAAAGCAACCCGAGTATCTACTATGAAAAGAAAAAGCTTGTCCTTCATTTCCAAGTTATTGCATATTTTCAGTTTTAGGCTGAGTCTCTAAAGTGCATCAAGTCCTTGCTGAGATGACATGGCAATTAGAGGCTCCTAAAGACACATATATGACATTTCCTGTCCTGCTCTCAGACCATGTTGAGGAAATGCGTTTACATCCAATAACGAGCAGGATTAGACAACAGTCATGTTTCACAAGGATAATGATTCTAACACAAAAGCAGAATTCAGAAGCAATCTTTTGTTTGTCTTGCATCATCTGAAGTTTTCAGTCTCATACCTGTAATTGACACACGGGTTGCAAGTTTGAACTTCTCTAAGATAATCCTCAAATTCCAGTTAATACATCATCTCCCCAATGACTAAGAGTGTGAGACGAGGAAGGTGGAAGAAATTCACTTTAATGGTGCTCTGGGCTCTTCCCAGTGCCAAAGTGAGAAGTTAGCTTATGAGAGAATAGAAAAAGAAATATTCATATTTTTGGCTCTTTGTATTAAAGGTTATAGGTAACCAACCAAAAACAGAGTAAAAGTGTTTAACTGTTCATCAATATCAATTGGCATGAGGTCACACAACCAATATATCTAATTTATATATATATACACGCACACACTCACACACAGACAGCTAAGGATCTATAGTACCAGGCAAGTTATATATAAAGGGAGGGGGAGGGGTTAAGGACATCCTCAGAAGGGAATGTTGTATTGTGACCACACATTGAAGGAAATGAGGGTGGACCAATGCAGGACCTGTGGACGATTGGACATGGCTGCAGTGACTAGCTCCCTACATGAATTCATGAAACTCTGGTTGTATGATCTTGCTCAGTTTATTTAAGCTGTTTTCTGCATTAAAACAAGAATGGTTAGCTTTCTTCCTGGGTATTTTATCCCTTTTGATTGTTTTCTTAATCTCTTTTCTAGTGGTTTGCATGTATAAAAACCATAGATTTTTGTATTGAAATAGATATGGAATTGTAAATCAAAGATTCATCAGTAAAAGAATCATAACTAAATTAACATAAACAAAAATGAGAAAGGTGATTTAGGTTAAATTGTTTATTCAAATTGTATTATTTTTTATTTTGATGATGTTTTACAACATTGTACATAACTTAGGAGTGTGGGTTCATACCTCTCAGATGCCTGTCACACCAAGCCCAGCACCAAAGCACCCATAATCTTCCATCATAGTCCATTGGGTCTCCTATTCTTTTTGTTCCCCCAACACAGTGCTTTCTGGTAGCCTCATTTCTGCCATCAGATTTCCAGGGCTTGTTTTGGTTCAGTTTTGACTGTTCCTTTGTCTTATTGCTTCATATTTCACAAATGAATGAAAAGAACTTTCAGCTCTATTATCTTGTGAGTCTAGCATGCCATTCTAGTAGCAGATAGTAGGAGAGGTGAAAAATAAAACATTTTTGGTGAGGATATTTTTCTACAAATATGCTACAATTAGAAAAGGAGGCCCTTTCCAGATGTCAATTCAAATAAAACTCATTTACATAATGGCAACACTCATGGCACAAATTAACATCAACTGCATCATATCCACATATGGATAAAGAATGACCCACAAAGAATCATAGTTTCTTAATATGAAACTCTATGTTTGCTCTTTGTAGACCTATTAAATATTTAAAGGAAATACCTAGTTGTTCAGTAAATGTTATTGATTATTTTGTTCTTTCCAAGCATAATATTAGATCCACACTGGAGGTATAAAGAAGAAGTTGTGAGACATTTTGCTGAGGAATGGCTTTGGGGGGAAACAACTATGCATAACAGAAAGGAGGATACATAGAAATCCACTTGTAATCTCTCTTCTTTAATCTTTGTACATACTAAAGATAAAATAAAAACAAGTTATTGTAAAATACATGTGTTGCAAATAAAGAAGCATAAAATTTTTCAACAAACAACTATGAACAAGAGACACTCTATGGGGGTGGGGGGTGGGGAGGGGAGGGATTGGGGTCAAAATAAGGGGATTGTAATTGTACAGGGAATATAAAAATAAAATTTATTTAAAAAAAAAGAAGAAGCATAAAATTTGTAACCATAATCATAATGTTCCTCATACAAATGAACTAATAATATCCATGGAAAAAAGCTAACCGCTGTTTTTAATTTGAACAATGTTTAAAAGATTGAATGGATTATTCGGAGACAGTGAGCAAAGGAATCAAATGAATCAATAGCACAAAACAATAAGATTGTGTTTTTGCTTCTTGTGCAGATCGATCCTGCTTAGCAGTTAAAATACAGTTTATCTGAAGGAGTGCCCACTCACCTAAGGAGGAAAAAGTCTTTCTCAGTAAAATACTATTTTAATAATAAGAAATATGCATGTGCAGAAATCTATGATTTTCCACTACTGATTAAAATGTTATTATAGGAAATTAATTACTCCCTCCAATATCCCCAATACCCAAAGAGCTTTGCTTCTATTTTCCTTTATGATGATTATTATCTTCCCTTTGTAGAAATATGTGTAGAGATCTTGTGCTCCAAATTGTTCTCACTGACTTAAGTAGAGTGGTTGGAACATAGTCTCCTATGTGAGGGGAGCAAAGTTGTTTTCTTTCCCTGCTTTTTGACTCCCTCATGTGCATCCTGCTCCTATTGTTTAAGAAATATGCCACTTTAGCCTTGTGCACATCTCTTTATCCTCAGATTCCTCATGTAAGATAGAAATAACAACATTCATTCACTCATATGTTGTGAAGATCCAGTGAATGAGTGCAGGTAAAGCAGTCCTAGGCCTAAGTGCCTGTTATATTTAAATTGATCTTATTTTATAATTTTCTGTTTTATGGCCCAAGTATTGTGCACTGAACCACTCAATAAGCATTCACTGAAACAAATGTGAATTAACTAGTGCTCACACCACCAGAGTAGTATACAGAATAGAATACTGTGGCATAGCTTGCTTCTTAACAATCAAAATTTTCAATATTCAAACACATAAAAATGAACAGACAGTATGTGGTTCTAGAAAAGGAAGTGATAGATGATTTGCTTAGTATAATAGAAATCTACTAAGAAAGGAAAAATAAATTAAGAATGCATTGATCTAATACTAGAAGGACTTACTTGAATCCAGAAATTTCATGATAGCCACTAAATTTCTTAAACATTTTGTCACAAAATGAGGCAATATGATTATTCTACAGCTTTGGGACAGAGTTAGAAAAAGTGCTGTACTGGAACCACTAGAAATGAAATAAATTGATGGTATTTTATGTTGGAACTGAACAATCATTTGTACAATGAGCAATCTAGAGTGACTTTAAGTATAATTCAATTTTAAAATTTTTATGTCTATGATACAACTAAATCTAGCATAGACTCAAGTAATTTATTCATATTGTACATACATACAGTGTCCTCTAGTCTTTGTACCAGAACAATTCTCTGAAACAACTGACTGGAATTCAGCCAATGTGATTTGCATAATTAATTTAGTTTCCCTGTTTTGCTTTGGAGCTAAGTTTTTGGGTCACAAGGAATACATTTTCCAGCTCTGTCTCTGTTTTGTTTTATGCCTTCTATTTTTTTTTTCATTTTCTTTTGAACACATTTTAAGTTACACATTTTAGTAAGCCCTGTAAAGAATTCTTCGAACAATGTACAATTTAAGTGAATAAATCATAGATCAGTTCTCAAATATGGTAACAAACAATGACAATCTTAAGACCCTTGCTTTAAGTATATACTCACTGGTTAAATTTTTGAACTCTGATGTAATTTTATGAGCAGACATGAGGAAAAAGCTCACTGAACCTACAAATACAAATTATTACACCAGTTATATTTCCCATTGTATTGTAGGTGATTGAAATGATATCATAGTGAATATATCTATCTCAACTGACTCTGAATATATCTATCTCAACTGACTCACATTTGTGCATTTGCAAATCTGACCCCAGACAAAACAGAATAAAGCCTTCGCCCTCGCTGAGAAAGGAACCCCCTTGTCTCTTAAGAATCTTTTAGTAGCATTTACATTAGAAAAATACTACGAAGTAACAGAGAAAAGATATAGCCATGGATTGAATTTCAGTACAAAGTAATAAGTGAGGATTTATAATAACAATATACTCTTAACTTTTCCCAAGTATACTACAAGGGAGAGATTATTAACAATAAGAAAACAGAGACACTCAGAGAAAACTAAGTAGCTAGAGATCACAACTAAGAAGGCAGAGTTTAATTGTATGGGGAATATAACCAAAATGAAATGCATACATTGTGCAAAAATGAAAAATGAAGTAAGAATTATATAAAATAAAATATTAAAAAAAAGAAGGCAGAGTTTATATTACAATCCAGGAGTTTCTAGCTCTAACACTTTACTGTTTCCATTACAAATGAGTGTTAATGTTATATTTCCTAAAGCATGATAGGCTTGAATTTTGTTTACTTATGATTCTTTTCACCTTATTATGTACCACTGTGAGTCTATCTTCAGATTCCCCAATCAGAAACCAGAAGCTACTCAGGCAACAAGTTTATTGTTGAGGAATTTTTCCTCAGGACTCTACCAGTAACAATTAGTTTGATTGCTTTTCGAAACCAAGGATAAAAGAAAGCATATATCAAAGGGTTCATTGCTGAGTTATAGTAGCCAAACCAAACCAATATTTCATAAATGTATGTGGGTGTGATGAAGCCTAGGAAGGCATCAATTATTGAATCAATGAAGTATGGCAGCCACGAAATCAGAAAGGCTATTACTGCGATTCCCAGTGTTTTTGCTGCTTTTCTCTCCCTCCTGGCCACTCTCTCCTTGTAGCTCTCTGATGATCCCTCAGCATTATTGGCCATATTTTCAATTTTTCTAGCTTGTTGCTTTGCCACAAGGAAAATTTTGGCATAAAGAATTATCATCACAAGGGTGGGAACAATAAATAATAGAAAATCTACCAATACCCAGTTTTGATTCACTGCAATTTGACAGCCTCCCACACAGGTGAGAGCACTTACTAGATCCTCCAGCCCAGTCTCATTTGCACCTGTACCAAGAAGGGAAAAACTGAAAATAATTGAAAAGAGCCAGGAGAAGGCAATACACATGCCAGCGACAGATACAGTGAACCTAGTTGGGTACACCAGCGGGTCCGTGACCGCAATGTACCTATCGAGAGAAATAAAACACAAGTGGTAGATAGAGGCATAACAGAAGGACCCTTCAAAACAAGAGTGAAATTTGCAGTAACTCTGTCCAAAGTACCAGCAGCTCTCCACAGATCTCACTGTGCTGAAGGGCATCACAGTCACTCCCACCAAGAAGTCAGCGCAAGCCAGAGAGGCGATCAAAAAGTTGGCTGGAGAATGCAGCTGCTTGAAATGAAGAATTGAAATAATCACCAAGAGGTTTCCAAATACAGTCAGCAGAACTCCAAAGCCAAACACTGTGTATAGAATCAGGCGGGGTCCTGGTGAGTAGGGAGTTTTGATACAGGATCCATTCACATTCTCATAGCACAGCAGCTCAGCTGCTGGAGGGGGAAAGTCACTACTCATGATGCTTTATTTTGATATTTGGAGATACTGTCCTTCTCTATGGCTGCAATGTCATTCCAAACCTCAGAAGCCCTAAAAAAAAAAAAAAATGATATACACAATACGTCAGTAATGGCCAGTATATCCTACCCCTGTTTCTTTGTAATTGCAGATCCTGATTTTCATGTTTAGAAATTGATCTGTATCTTCATTTCATAAAATAATTCACTTCCAAATGAATAAGCAGTTGATTTTCATCATTGCATAAAATGCAGTTTATCTAAAATTTATAAAATACATCTTTTGCATTACCTATTCCTTCATACCTGAGAAGCACAGATCTTCAAAGAGCTGTTACATGGTCACGCATGAATGCCACATTTTATTGGTGTTTGTTTCCTAATTTATTGGAGCTAGGATAATGCCCAGGACATTCTGTCCCCTCAGGAAACTAACTAAATGATTCCAAATACACAAAGCCCTTAAGTTTGAATCCCCATAGTATAAGGTGTGGAAATAAAGCTGTTAATAATGACGTTATGTTTATCTAGTTTCCTGATGACCTTTCAAGTTTTTAGAATTAAAAATGTACAGTGTCTGGCCTTAAAAACTTTTGTAGAATTTGAAGGACATATTGTTTTGTTTTCATTAAGGTAACAGTGGTTTACAAGGTATGTAAGCAAAACATAGGATCACACCTCCTTAGAGGCTCATCACTGCATCGCCAAGGCTCCCTCAGCCTCCACCATAGCCCACTGTGCCCCCTCCCCTTTGTGAGAGACACATTGTTTACCCTGTAATTAATGAAGTTTGCATATTCATTTTTGTAAGACCACTCATTTTGTAAGACCACTCAGCTCTTTAAAAATAAGCTGTTTTATCCATTCCAGTATTAGTTCGTGTTAAAGAAATGAAATGCAGACTCATCGTATATTAAAATTTGGAATATTCCATTTCACATGAAAGCTTTAATTTCATTTCATTATTAAAATAGTTTTAGTAATTCTTATTTGGAAAAGTTATGGTATATAATTGTTTTCTTCATGGAAATGTAGAAGCACTTCCAACTAAGATTTTCTGCTTCTAAATGGGAACCATTGTTAAAATTTTACATATATAATATAATGAAAGAATACTCTTAATGTGGATTTTGTAATTTTATAATTCTGTTTTTTTAATTTAATTTAATTTTTTTAAGATTTATTTATTTATGCATAAAAGAACCGGGGTACAGGCCAGAGGTTTGATGGGGGAGGTGAGATTCACCAGAGACAGAGTGGGAAACAGAACAGGCAGATTGACTAAAATACACTGCTGAAGGGAGCAATGGGTGAGTCAGGAGAGGTCTGCTGCACCATGTGGGTTGCTCCCTGGCTAGCTGGGGATCGAACTTGTGCTGCAGAGGCTGCGGATTGCTTCATAGGTTGTGTCTTAACCCCTTGCACCACCAAGGAGGCCCCTAATTCTGTATTTATACCAGTGACATATTTCCTTTTCCTCCTAGCGTTCTAGAAAAAACTCAGTTTCAACTTTTTTTATGAATTAGTTGTGGTGATTTTTTTCAAATCAACTTTTTGCCTTGAAAGCATACTTTATTATATTTTTTAAAAATTTATTTATGCATACAAGAACTTGGGTACAGGCCAGAGTTGTGGAGGGGTGAGGGGATTCACCAGAGACAGAGTGGGGAGCAGAACAGGTAGATTGACTGAAATACACTGCTGAGGGGAACAGCGGGCGAGTCAGAAGAGGTCTGAAGTGCCATGTGGGTAGCTCCCTGGCCGGGGATCGAACTCATACTGCAGTGGCTGTGGTGAGCTTCATAGGTTGCATCTTGACCCCTTGCACCACCAGGGAGGCTCAATAACTTATTGTTTTGAGTGAAACTTTATAATAAGACAACTTATATGTCTTCTCTTTGTTGTCCTTTCCAAAATTGTTTTAGGCACATGGCCTCATTTTAGCATAATTTTAAATTCACTTTTGCCACTGTCATGAAAAAAAGAGCCAAGGTCACACACTGGAGTAAAAGAAAAAAAGATTCTTTAATAAATGGTCTTGGAAAACTAGACAGCCACATAGACAAAGATGAAACAATACCAATATCTAACACTACACAAACATTAATTCAAAATGGATCAAAGACTTATATGTAAGTTCTAAAACTATACATAGAAGAAAACCCAGGCATATGTTATTTGACACTGATCTTTAAAGTGTCTTTGGGGTCTCTGCTCCAAGGACAAGAGAAACAAAAGCAAAAATAAGCAAATAGGACTGTACCAAACTAAAAAGCTTCTGCACAGCAAAAGAAAACTGCATACAAGTTAAGATACACTATTGAATGGGAGAAGACATTTGTATATCATCTGTCCAACAGACTATTAATATCCAAAATATATAATGAACACATATTATTCAACAAATAAAAAACATATAACGCAGTCAAAAAGTGGGCATAAAGATCTGAAAAGACACTTCTCCAAAGAAAACTTACAGAGGGCCAGTGGGTATTTGAAAAGATGTTCATCATCTCTTATCACTAGGGAAATGCAATTTCAAACTACAATGAATTATTATCACATACCTGTTGGAATGACTGTTTTACATAAGACATGATACATGTCCCAGAGAGTATGTGGAGAGAAGAGAATCCTTGTACACTGCTGGTGGGTTTATAGATCGGTACAGTGTTAATGGAAAGCAATTTGAGGATTTCTCAGTAAATTAAATTAAATTATAAATAGAAATTCCATATCAAGTGATCATCCCCTTTCAGATGTTGACTTAAAAAATAAAAAACACTAATTTAAGGGACATATGCACAATCATGTTTTTCAAAGAATTGTTTGCAGTATCCAAGAGCTCAAAACAACCTAAGTTATTGGATAAAGAAGATATATATATAGATAGATAGATAGATAGATAGATAGACATATATAGATATGAACACACACACAATAGAATACTATTCAGCTAAAAAAAATGATTAAATCCTGCCATGTACAACAACATACATGAAACTAGAGGTATTAATTTTAGTGAAAAAAGTTAGATGGAGGAATACAAGCACCATATGATTTCATTCATGTGTGATATATAGTGAAACCAAACAAACAACTATCACAAATAAAACAAAAATAAACTTTTAGATTGTAAGGATAATTACTGGCTACTAGAAGCAAAGGTGGCAGTGAAGTGAGTAGTTGATCAAAAAGAATCAGTTATATAGTGAAGGATAAAAGTGCACTTTTGTTGGTGAACTTAATATAGTATATATAAATATTGACTTATAAAGATGGATATCTGAAGCTCATTTAATTTATAATGCAATGTTGTTTCAATAAAAATTATTTAATAACAATTTACAAGCACCCTATTTTATTTTATTTTTAAAAGATTTATCTATTTATGCATACAAGAACTGGGGTACAGGCCAGAGGCGTGGGGGGTGAAAGGACTCACCAGAGACAGAGTGGGGAACAGAACAAGCAGACTGACTGAAATACACTGCTGAGGGGAGCAGCGGATGAGTCAGGAGAGGTCTGCTGCTCCATGTGGGTAACTTCCTGGCCGGGGATGGAACTCACGCTGTGGTGGCTGCTGATAGCTTCCTAGGTTGTGTCTCAACCCCTTGCGCCACTAGGGAGGGCCACCCTATTTTATTTTATTTAGATTTTAGACACTGAAGATTAGTTATTGCTCCATAGGGAAGACTCTTTTGGGATAACACCTAGCTTCCAACTAATTAGAAGTCAGACCTTCAGGCAGTAATTCCTAAAGAATGCAAATATGTACAGAACTGTGCAAGACCCACTGCCACCAAAGCAGAACTGGAGGTGCTGCTGAGCTACAGTTACAAAACTTGGGGCTGCAGATGAGAGTATAAGTTCCTTTCGGGAAGATACCAGTGAGCTGTAATGAGGCAGAGAGTACAATATAGCATCTGTCAGCTTATGTTCCTTGTGGGTGTTTTTTTTTTTCCCCAGTGTATTTAAGTATTCTATGTGCAACATATATTTTGCTCTTTTTTAGGTTTTTTAAATTTATATATTTTTTACATCATTCTTCATGTTTGTACAATGCATGCTTTCTCTTCTCAGGTGTAGTCCCCATGAAATTGCCACCACCAGTTCACCCATCCACAATCACCATAGTCACTTTTCTTACTAATTATTTAAGAGAAGCTTCTAAAATGTTTACCATTGTGCATTCCTGTCAGAAAAGCCATGAAAGTCTCAACAGGTCAAGCAGCATGTCCCAGACCAAAGTGATGGTGCAACAGGGTGGTCCCCAGGAAAGGGGGAGGTTCCCTGCCCCACCCAAGGGAGGGTCGCCTCCTCCAGGTCTCCTGGCTCCATCCTGCTTCCTTCCTCAGTCTCTTCTGCAGCTTCTCCTCTTCCTGCTCAGCTCCACCCTCCCTTGGGTGGGGCAGGGAACCTCCCCCTTTCCTGGGGACCACCCTGTTGCAATGGTATTTCTTCAGGAGCATGAAGAATCAGGAGGTCACTAACAGGGACTTAGAGCGTGTAAGAGAATCAGGCTCCGTCTGGCTATGCAAACTCTTACAGTTTGCAAAGCTCTTTCTGGAACTCTGGTGGCAGCCAAACTGAAACTAGAGGGATTCACCATCCTCAGTCCTGGCCATTGACAGCCATCACAAGAAGCCACTGAGATTTTCTCTTCCGCTCTTCCCATCTCTATTTGTTGCTCTTTTCCCATTGTAATGTCCCTGGCACCTACTCCCTTGAAAGAGTCAAATGTCCCAGGCCCGCTGATGTTGGGCTTGGCTATGGAACTTGCTTTGATCAAAACAAAATGGGTCAGGGCCTCCCCTGGTGGCGCAGGCGGTTAAGCACAGCACTGTGAAGCTGTCCGCAGCCTGCAGAGCCGGTTCCATCCCGGTCGGCCCGGCGAGGGTCCCACAAGGCGCGGCAGACTCTCCTGTCTTGCCTGCTGCTCCCCTCAGCAGTGTATTTCGGTCCGTCTGCCTGTTCTATTCCACGCTCTGTCTCTGGTGAATCCTCTAGCCCTCCCGCGCATCTGGCCTGTACCCCGGTTCTTGTATAAAATAAATAAATAAATCTTTAAAAAGAAAAAGCCTGCAAATCCCTTTAAAAAACAAACAAACAAACAAAAATGGATCAATGTGGCTCTTTCCAAGTTCCAACAGAAGAGTTAAATGAATTTATGAGCTCTAGCCCACCTCTTGAACTACTGCTCTCTGTCATGAGAACAAATTGTGTCATTAGGGTCATCACCTTCAGTTCTGGTGTTAGAACAAGAAGTGAAGAACTGACCCATGGCTAGCTGCAGCTGGGAGCAGAGCTGCTGTCATATAACATGAACAAAAATGAACATTTGCTATTGTTAACCATTGAAGAACTAACTTAATGGAAAAAAGCTATTCAGATGCAATACAAAGGGATTGTTGCTCTGGAAATTGCACTGCTCATAAGTCTCAACAATTTACATGGCATTTTTTCATGTACTTATATTCATACACATGTGTGTACTTATATTCATACACATATGTGTATTTTCTACCCACACATGCCAGCTTGGCTAATCTGGAAACTAGTTTGACTAAGTTGTATTAAAGTGATGTAATTAAGTTGAGAGATATTGAGAGAAAAATAAGGAACCAGTTCATACAAAAAAAATAAAAAAGTCTATGCAGGAATTTGAGACCACGTTGATTTTTTATGTGAAACAGAAAGATTTTTAAAAGACAAAAACATTCTAGGCATGTGTCTAAATACCAAGAAATGATTGTGCTTGTTGACCCACTTCTCAATGGCATGCTCTTGCTGTGGACAAGCAGGATCAGGAGGGAGACCTTGCACAGTGGGGTGAGGTCTGACTGCCACTGCTGTCTGCTCACATTTGATGACAAAACTGTCACATTCAGATGATTGCCCTGATGTCCACATTTATTTTTATATATATATTTTTATATCATTGTTCATTTTTAAACAATGTTTGCTCCTCCCACCCCCACACCTCCCAATGTAGTCCCCACAGAATTTTTGCACCTGTGCACCATCACCAGAGTCCCCTGTGCTCCTCTCTCCCTCTCTCTGATCCCTCTCCCTCCTCCTCCCCTGCAGGTTGTCTCTGGTTTATAACTGTTTGTTTTTGTTTTGTTTTGTTTTGTTGTGTTGTGTTTTGTATTGTTATTATTTTTTTCCCTAATCCTGACGTCTGCATTAAAGAAGACTCCTTAACCAGAGAGTTCATAAACTTTTACAGGGGAAATATTGTCTTTATATTCACTAATCTTATTTGAAATATGGAGAATTCCTTCTATTTTGAATGTAGGCAAAAACTGTACCTATATCAGCACAACTTCTAATTTTTATCACCAGTAGAAACAAATATGTATCACAATATAGTTTTTGCAGATATCATGAGATTTTTGTTTTATTGCTTATCACTACTTTGAAATTAGTCCTGCACCTGCCTGGCAAGTTCTCACCCAATGCTTTCATAAAGAGGCACATCTATGATTATATTGCAAACTTGGTTATTTAAAAGATACTTTGATAATTGTATTTCAATATAAATTCATTACTTTATAATTCTGTTTTTAATTTTATCCACTTAAAAGTCTTATTCTGAGAGCGCCTCCATAGTCATTACCAAAGGACCAAAAAAGTTCATGGCAGAAAAGTTTAGAAATATTTGTTTTAATTTAGTTAATTCTCACTCTGTTAGAAAAAAAGAAGGAAGGCTATTTTCCCAGAAAAGTCAAATTCCTCTATACTATGGTATTATACTCATACTTCATGGAAAATATCATTAAATATAAACAAACAAAAACGTTCATTTGTCCAAGTGCCTAAACAGATTTTCTGATCGCCACATTTTGCTTGTTACATCCTGTTCTCATAGCAAAGATGAAGGAGCTGGGCTTTCGATCCTGTCGACACACGCACATTGCTCCCCTTTGTGGTGTCCACTAAGGATATGATTTTTTTTGTTCTCATTCCCCTCGGGTTCACTGGTGATATAAGCACTGAGCCACGACACTCATGCTCTCACATTTCAATGATTCATTAAAAGCCAATCTCCTGCCAGCTAGACGTAGCTAGATGTTAGTCTTACTCAAAAGTTTATAAGCTGCACAGTTTTTCCTAATACCAAAGGGATATAGTAAATACATTAAGGGTTTCAAATAAGGAGGAGAAAATAAATTATTGAATCTCTGTGTGTCTAATCTGCAACACAGGTTGATAAGTGTCCCCCACACTCACCAGCCCCAGTGAGTGTGGCCTGTGAGATACTCCACAATATAGGCTGTCAGTAAATGTTAGTTTCCTCCCATCCCATCTTTCCCCTCTCTTTGTTCTGGTGTCTATCCTGACTAATGCAACTAACCTATCTATCAGAAAGCCATAAGATGTGAAAGAGCAGAATTATTTCCAGCTTTGTGAAAAGTGGCTAACACAAAGCATTCCACCTTGTAAAGTAGCTGAGTGTTCTTACTTTCGGGACTGCCAGTGCTGTGCCCAGTGCATTGAGAACAGATGTGAATTCATTTCTAGAAAAGCAATTAATTGACAATTAATTCATTTCCAGGACTGTGTTATTTAAAGTTATGACTGATTTATACTTTAAAAATTATATTTATTGCTATATCTAGGGCACAGTGTTCCTGGTTCCTTAATGTCTCAAAACTATATATGTGCACTATGATATCTTTTAATTTACAATTCATTTGAAAATTAATTTCTAATAATGATTAAGAGTTATATGGGTTATACCTGTTGTTTTGTAGAAGTATGTTTACATACCAAATATATTATTTCAGCTGTAATGACTTAACATTTGTGTATATTACAGAGCAATATTGAGAAGAAAGAATTATTACTTTCAAAGAAAATTTAAGCTTTCCAAATGCATTGAAATATCTTTTTATAAATTATTTTTAGTTAGAAAAAAGAAAGAGTGTAGAAGTTATCTCTCTAGCCAAAAAAAAAGGAATAAATGGAATGGAATGAATCTACTTCAGGTAACTTCATTCACAAAATAGGAATTACTTCTTTATTTACTGATTGATTTCATAAACCAATCTATATTTTATCTATATTTCTCTATACATCTGTAATCAGAAGCTTCAAATCAATTTATAAATAAGTTTTCCAATGCAATTATTAATTTGGGAAAAAATGTCCATCAGAAATGTGGAAGTAGAGTGAGGAGACACCTGTAGAAAAGATTTAGGAAGAAAAGAAGCAGCCTGTGAATGAAGGGGTCAGTACTTGACCAGTAATAATTCCTAAGAGATATTTGTTTCAATTCAGAACAAGCATATAGCATGACTTGCTTTTCCAAAGGAAATCATGTACTGATGTTCTTAGAAAGAAAGGTAGCAGGTCTAACCTTCTTGTTTTTTTTTTTTTTTTTTTTTCAGAAAAGGAGTAAAAATTTAGGTGGTAAGATGTGAGTCATTATCATTTTACAGACTATTCCACATATTTTCAAGTTATTTCAGTTCATTTCAGTTATTCAGGAAAAGAAAGGGAAATTCCTTCAGCAATATAGCAAATACATTTTCTCAGTCATCACTGAAATGGATAAATCAAGATTACAAACCTGCTTGGTCACTGTGTTCCCAGGAGACAGGAAGTTTTAAAAGAATATTCTGATAAAGAGATACTCCAAAGACTGGCCTGTGATTATGACAAATTGATGCAAAATTAGTATTCAAACAACATTTTATATATGAACTTAAGAATGTATTAGAGAGCAGACATACAAACCCCTAACCTTGTAGATGTGATGACTCTGTAAGGGAAGAAAGAGAAAAAGATTGCTGAGGATTGACCTGGTGGCAGAATTAGGACAAAAACCCAGAAATCCTGACCACAGTGCTCTTTTCCCTCCACCTCTCTATGACAATTGTCTCAAGGAAATAACAAATGAGAAGCCAAATATTTGCACAGAGCTTTGACTTAAGCAATTAGCATTTAGATGACTTTGCTCTCTTATAATAGAAATATTATAGGAAAAGATTGCTGTTCTCTCTTTTCAAATTGAATTTTTTTTTCTACTCCACTTAAACCACACTGCTTTGGCAGCATGCCCACATAGTCATATCACCACACAGCCCACTCCCACAGGATCATACATTCTTCCTGAAAGGCTCTGCCCCTTGTTTGCATTCAGTTAAAGAAGTCATTCTTGGTACAAATCAATTGTAGGTGTCCTTGGTGAGAAGATCTCCCGACTGAGGATGAGTTTCAGTGCCTTCCTGAACCACCGGTAGGAAAAGACATAGATGATGGGATTGCAGGCTGAGTTGAAGTAAGCAAACCAAATGAAGATATCAAACACCAATGGTGGGGTGAGGAAATTAATGAGGCTGTCAACCAGTGTGTCAATGGTGAACGGAAGCCAACACAAGAGGTATATGCCCACAGCAATGCCCAGAGTCTTGGCAGCTTTTCTTTCACGTTTGGAAGCCCCAGCTTGGCTTTTACTCATGGTGTTCATCTGCTGAGCTTGTCTGGTAGCAACTATAAAGATCTTCACATACAGGCTGATCATGATGAGGCAAGGGAAAAAGAACACAGGGAAGTTTAACCAACCCCAAAACTTATTGAACAACAGCTGGCAACTGCCCACACAAGGCATCTCTTCCAGCCACTGGCTGAGCCCTCTCTCTACCACATCTGTGTAGAGGAAGAAGGCAGTATAAGTTGCTGGAATCCCCCACCCTGCCACAATGTACCTGAAGGCAACCCTGACTGTGAACTTGGAAGGATAAATCAGGGGCTCACAGATGGCACAGTGACGGTCAATGGAAATGAAACAAAGATGGAAGATGGAAGTAAGACAGAAGAGGGTGTCCAAGTAGGTATGCAGGCGACAGAGGAAGTCTCCAAAGAACCAGCAGCTCTCCACTGAGCGAATCGTGCTGAGGGGCAGCACCAGCAGACCCAGAAACATGTCAGCCAAGGCCAGAGAAAGCAACAAGAAGTTGGTGGGAGTGTGAAGGGCTTTGAAATAGGACACAGCAAACACCACAAACAAATTTCCTAAGACTGTGATTAGCATGCCTACTGCACAGGTTAAGTAGATGGCCAACTGGACACCCAGAGGATGGATTGTCCTGGGACAAGACCCATTCACTTGGTAGCATAAGACCAGGGGTTGTTCTTCAGCACCTTGGTTGAGGACAGCACTCATTTATGGTTTCTATTTTCCTCACTCTCTGGAAACTGATAACCTGTTCCACAAAAATGAAAAATAAATTAAAGTCATCTTTGTCTGCTAAATAATTGGAAAGTGAGATAGTAGAGGCAGGACAAAAGGGTGCTTTGAAGCCTAATACTATTTTCTTGGATTCTAAATCCAATGTGCCATGTTAGTCAAATACAGCATGAGAGTCAAAGTTTTATGAGAATTGTTTCTATTAGTCCTATTTTATCTATGTCCTTTTGAAACTAAGGAAAGTAAGGTAAATGTTTCCTGAAAGAAAAAATTGATTATGTCACAGTGTGTATATAGCATACAATTCTTGAGAGAATATCCCTTACATTTTGATAAGATATATGCTGCTAAATGGAGATTTAATGTTATGAGTCTGAACCAAGTGAAGAATTAATTATTGCAAACAAATCATTACTGAGGGAAGGAGCAACTTCTGACTTGCCCCCAGGGGTATGTAAATTGAAAATAAATCAACAGATTTTGGGTTTTAATCTCATGTCAATGCTTCCCAGGAAAAAAGTGTGGCATAAAATGAAAGAATGGAGAGATGGATAAATGCAGAATAATAAAGACATGCTTAACTAGATTTACTGTAGTGATCATTTTACAATATATACAAACATATAATCATTATACCAAACACCTGAAACTTATGTAATGGTCTCTGCCACTTGTACCTCAATTAAAAAAAGTAAAAGAAATTTCATTTTAAATTGCAAAAATAAGAAATGATAGGTTAAAACACTGGGAGGCAACAGAGGTCAATCAACCATTTAATTCTTATAAATATATAAGTATATTTTTGTTTTGATCTCTTCTGCTCTATACAAGTATAAATTGGAAATATGCTGTATAAAAGTAATAGAATAAAAAAAATAGAAGAGAGTTAGCCTATTTTAATTCTACATGCTGTCATTTCTGAAGATAACACATGGTATTTGTACATCTTAAGACAACTGCCTGATATGAAAATGTATTTTGAATGTGTTAACATTACCCTGTGAAATTTTAACCAAGTTGTAGTAAATCGAATTCTGAATTTCTAAGCTACTTACAGACCTAAGAATCAGAATAACTTCATGGGGAGAAGTTCTTCTAGTAGCAGGTGGGCATAAGGAATGTAGATTCCTCTTCCATCAGCAAAGAAGACAAATGTGCAGCAGCTAATGATTTTATACTCCAAACAGAATTTACTCCTTTACTTGGTATGTTATTCAAATGGACACTGAAGGGGTACCAAGGGACCTAGTTTGCAGTATTCACAGGTCTCAGTAGTTTAAGTTTCCTTCTCAATACAGGATCATTTAAATTGACAATTAATTAGATGCAAAAATCTAAAGTCATTAGGTTTAAATATTCTGTTGCTCAACTTTTTTTGTGAGTTCATATATCTTTTCTGCTTTAGGATTATTTGTGCATATTTCTCTCAACATAAAACATCATTGATCATAAGCCCTTTGGTTTGTAACCACACATTTTATTCATCATGACGTCCTTTTTAACTCTAGGTTTTGTTCCAGTCAAAGAAGTCACAGTAGTGAAACAATTAACCTGAAAACAGAGTTAAATTTTTATTCTGCTAATTTCTAGGTTATCACTTATTCTCTCCCTTCTTTTGTGTCTACATTGCTCAAAGTAACCACACTTAGACTCATATATCTATTCTCAACAGAGATTAGATTAAGCACAATAAAACATTCAATCATATCTGTATTTTCAATGTCTTGGCACCAAGCCTCCAGAACATGCAATGGCTTCCTACAGTCACAGAAAAGTTATTCCACAAAGTAAACCAAGCTGATGTTGCAAACATGACAGTATTCTAAAGGTCACAACAGATGATGATCTGCCAGTGGGGCCTGTAAGAGAAATTGGGGTAGGTCAAAAGAATGAAGGAGGTTGATTCTTCCTCATCTTCTTTCAAAAGTCCTAGTTACACCCTGTTTCCCAAATTAAAGCTCCCTGCAGCCTAAAGACTGCTAGAAATTTTGCCTTGTATCAAATCCACATATGAGAAATAGACTTCTGATTCTAGAACTTCATCAGACAAAGGAAGATCCTACATTATTATATGCCATTATACCCCTTTGTTTATAGTCATAGTTCATATACAATCTGCCAAGGAGTCCCTATAGCTCTAATTTAATATGACCAAGAATTCATGAAAAATGAGAACAAATGTCTTACAACTACAATAAGGCCTGGAAAAGGAAACTCAGAAAAGGCTTTTGGTTCTGGGATATATTTCATCAAACCTATTGAAAAGTAACACGTAATCACAAATGTATTTGGATTTGTTTAATTTTATAAAGTCCATTTCCAGTGATGTGATACCTTGTCAGAGATTATCTAACACTTCTGTGTCAAGTTTTCTCATCTATTAATTAACTATAATATAACACCTACACTACCAGAGGGTTATGAAGACCCACGAGCTAAAATTCATGTTAAGAACAGTCCCTGGCAGAGAATAAACCAAGTAGGACGGACAGAAGTATGAATGACTATCTATTCTAGAGCCACTATTCACCTTCCCCAGTTAGGCTCTTATTCCATCTTCTACTGACATGCAAAAATATATTCCGGTTACATAACAATCAGGAGCAAAAGTAAGTGGAAATTGCATTTTCTAAGTTTTCCTGCTTAATTTGGGGATTCATTTATGCTCCATTATCAAAGTTTTCCTCAAAATGATTACATATTTTATAAATAGAAAATAAGGGTAAGTGAAATATTTATAAACAAGTCAAAAGTTGTGTTTATAATTAAAATTTCATTTTAACAGTCTTGAACTTTAATAACACTAATGTTACTAGATGCAAGGCAGGAATGTTATTGTTTTCCTAATGCAGAGCAGTATCCAGCTTCTTCAAAATAAATTGTGTTGGTTAGGGAGAGAGAAAGGTACCTGGAGACAGCTGAAAAAAAATTCTAACTGAAAACCCTCAAGGAACTCATATGTCCTCAGTGGTATTTGGGAAAGTTAGTAAGTAAGTTCCTAGTAATTGCCTCTACCATGTTTGCCATCTGGAAAAACAATCACCATTGATGACGAGGGGCTGAGAAGTGAGGTTTTTAACTGAAGAAATAGTAAAGTCAATTCTCTTAAAGTCTATGTGAAGAAGCAATTCCAGAATCTGTTTAAGACATATAAGACTTCTTGCTTTTAGGTAATCACCTCTGCCATAATTCAAAATAAATGTCATGCGTATGAAAGGAGGAAACTTTGGTTCAAAATGGGCTGGCAAAGAGCAAGAGCTTTGAAGAGGTACAGACCTGATTTTGAATCGTGTACTCTTGTAAAGTATAATTTCTTAAAGGAATAAGCATTGTAATCTAGAGGTTTTATTTATTTATTTTTAAGATTTATTTATTTATTTATACAAGCACTGGGTATAGTCAGAAGCGTGGGAGGGTGAGAGAATTCGCCAGAACCAGAGCCGGGAACAGAACAGGCAGACCGACGAAGTACACTGCTGAGGGGAGCAGCAAGCGCGGCAGGAGAGGTCTGTCATGCCATGTGGGACCCTTGCCGGTGGCCGGGGATCGAACCGGCGATGCAAAGGCTGCGGGCAGCTTCGCAGCCCAGCACTCAACCGCTGCACCATCAGGGGAGGCCCCTGTAATCTAGCGGTTTTAGAGTGTTCAGAAGGTTACATAAAATGAATCTTATTGCTCAATATAATGGCACTTTAGAATCGTTAATTCATTTACCCAATTTCTTTTTTTTGCATCTGGTCTGAATTTACACTTTATGTGGTGTATTTATTTATTGTTTATGTTTCTTTTTTCATGTTGCTTTTAAAAAGGTTCTTAATTCATCTTTTATCTTATTGTACTAGTAAACACCATAAACATAGGAATTTTTTTATCTTCTGCAAGTCTCCCCACCACCTCCTGCAGAGCCTCCTCTGCACTGTACTTTGATGTTAAAGTATTTAGTCCCTAATTCCCAAGGACTGGATAATGGTCTACTCCTGTGCCTCTTAATACTCTGTACTTCCCTCTTTCATAGAAGCTCCTAAAACACTGATGTTTCCCGTTTACTTACTGTGCCTCCCGCTAAGTAAATCTACATCAGATGAGGGACTGCACCTTAGGCATCATTAAAACCCTACATCTATCTGAGAGCCTGGCATGTATTAGTCACACAAGAAACATGTACAAATGTAGCTAATTATTTTCTGTACAAGATAACAGGGTAGGTTATTATATATATAAAATCACTGAATGCAAATTTAATCAGTAGCTTCTTTCCTCTACCTCCCAGGTACTAAATCTGTTCATAGACATGGGGAGTAGGTGCAACCATTTAGAAATCATGCTGCTGCAAAGATGTGACCTCAGTCATCCAGATGTAGTATAGGAGTGACAGGGACATAGGAGGGGGCTTCAAAGAGAGGGGTGAGAAATCCGAGAGAGGGCAGCATTGGGGTTCAGGGAAAGAGTATTTCCTGTGAGTCAGGAGGTCATAATTATGATTCATGTTTGTCGTACAAACCACACTTTTTTCTAGTCTCATTTCCTTGAGTTCATTTTTTAATGGGTTTTTAAAGAAATTCAAATTTAGTTATGTCCCTTATTCTTGCATGCATTTATGTAAGTTGTGCTGAAATCCTTTCTGGAACAAGAAGTGAAAATGGAAAAATACAGATTTTATGGTAATAATGAATCCTTGGAATCAACAGTGCCATATCTAGGAATACATCCCAGGAAAAGGACCACATAAGGACAAACTAAACACACTAAAGGAAATTCTATGGAACACTTGCTGTAATAGTTAAAAATAAAATTAACCTTTTATTGAATTGTCCTCTAATTGGGGATAGATTAAACAAATTATAGTAGACTTCATGCAGCAAGATCTTTTCAGTCATTAATATTAATGACATAGTTCTATATGATTGACCAATAAATTCACAACATATTAATTGAGAAAAAGGAAGATATCAAGTATACAAATATAGTAAAGTTGAGTATGTTTATCTCTATGGGTCTATTTTTACAAGGAAAAAGAGCTAACAAATCAGCTAACTGATCTCGAGTCAGTTTTTAAATTACTTTGCTGTATTTTTCTGTGATACTTGAAGTTTTGGTTTGTTCTTCACACTAAGCATGCATAATTATTTCTCTACTCATTCATCCTATTTCTTTTTCTCTTTTTATAGAAGTAACACTGCATTATAACATCCTATATGTTTCATGTATGCATTATGGAGAAGCAAGTATATATAATACATAAAGTTTAACATTAAAAGTCCTGTTCTATACTTCACCATACCAGAGTCTCTTTTTTCACAATTTACCTACTTTCCTTCCCTTCTGGTAATTACCAAGTGGTCGTATAGCCCAAAGGTTTTCTTTTTTGCTTTAATCAATATGTCAATTTTCTCTATTATATATCACATATGGTATTTTTCTGTCTGGTTTGATTCAACAAGCACAATTCCTTCTAAATCCATCCAGGTTGTGGCAGATAACAGGATTTCAGCTTTCTTTATTGCTGAATAGTATTTCATGTGTCTATATACAACATCTTCACCCATCTGCCAGTTCATAAGTACTTAGATTTCTTTCACTTCTTTGCCATTTTAAATAATGCTGCAATAAACATGAAGTTGCATGTATTTCTTTGAATTAGTGTTTTTGCTTTTGGGGGATAAATATTCAGAAGTGGGATAACTGGATCTTGTGGAATTTCTGTTTTAAGCACTTTGAGAAATCTATCCTGTTTCCCATAAAGGTTGCACAAATTTGCAATCTTTCCAACTGTGTCAGAGTGTTGGGAGGGAATCAACAGTTGGAATTAACAGGCCCTTGTCAAGGGTATCATATACAGAGACATTTTCCCATTCAGTTGGATGTCTTTTCATTTTGATCCAAGTTTCTTTTGCCATCCAAAACCCTTCTGGGGTGATGTAGTCCTCTTTGTTTATTTTTGTTTTTGTTTTCCTTGCCACTGATACTAACATATCTTTCAGGCTGATATCAAGGAAGATATTGCCTGTGACTTCAAGTCTTCTTTCGAAGTTTTTAATCTGTCATGTTTATATTTTATAAAGGAAAAGGAAAGCTTTATCTTTATTCCAAGAAAGAAGAGTCATACAGAAATTAAGCATTGCCCCTAGTCCATTACCCACTTACAGCATGACCTTCACATTGTCAGTTGTGAATGAATCCCACCAGCAGAGTTCCCCAGAATATTGACTGATGATGGTCAAATATCACCATTCTCCTAATTTGAACACATATTTTCATTTAATAAGATTGTTTGTATATTTGAACAAGTGCACCAGTGCAAAACTGGATTATGACCAAAGTCCATGAGAACAGGAATTATATTCAGTTCAACTATTTTTAACAAATAGGCACTATTCTTCAACTTCCCTCCCAAGGGCAAGAGCCTCATTTGATCAATAGTCTTTGTTTTATAATCATTTATGTCTGTGTATTTGAATAACTTTCCTCATTTTCTATGTTTTAGTTATCCATTTGAATGTTCAGAGATTTTTATGAAAAGCCACCATTTCAGGCACTGTGGAATACAAATATCATTAATATAAGGACATAAGAATCATTTCATCTAGGTAAAGAACCAACACACCTATGTATTCCAAGTCTGGTACAAAGCACAAGTCAAAAGAGACAGATTTGATCAGTAGACATAGAACATAGAAGGAAGATGCCATATCTGATGAGTTTGAGGACTTAGTGGAGCACCCAAAAAGAAATACATTGTAGAAAAAATGAGGGACTCAAATTGGTGTGGGGTGGGAGGGAGTGGGTGTGGCAAGGGTTGATAGGAAAGAAAACAAATATATTTGAGATAAAACATTCCAGCTTTCAGATTAGATAAGATTAGAGCAGGTACTCTCACTGATCGCACTGTTGAAAGTTTTGGCCAGATAATTCTGTGTTGTGGGGAGTTACTCTATTATTGTAGGAACTTGAACACAACCCCCCACCTCACTCTCTAGCTATCAGTAGATACACGTCATGCTGTGGCAACTGAAAATATCTTTAGACAGTCTCAAATGTCCCCAGTGGGCAAAAATAGGCTCTGGTTAAGAACTACAGGATTGGAGAGACAGAAAGATGAGGTGAAGAATGAAAAGAATTTAGTATAGGACATAATTTGGTAAAGTAAGTTTATGGGATAGAAGAGGGAAGAGAAAAGCAAATAGGACAGAGAGAAGAGACAGTCGTAGAGGCAAGAAATATCCTAAAACTCTGGGCAAAAGAAATAACTTTAGTTTGTGGAAAAAGTTCTACCATGATGAGCCTTAGCAAGCACATACCACAGCCACACAGCTCCTGTAGGTCTGCTCATAAACTGCATCCTCAGATCAAAAGTATATATTGAGAAAAAGAAAGAATATATTTCTAAACTCTTTACTCTTTATTTTCATTTAATAGGATCGTTTTATTTTATTTTGGTATTACAGACTTCACATGAGTTCTTTCTGAAATGAGATTTAAATTAAAACCAATAAAATTGGAAGGAACTACAATTCTCAGCTACCTTCTCCCCTTTCATGTCATTTGCTTGCCCCATAATTCAGGCTTCCAGAATTCTCAAGCTCTCTCCCCAGTTCCCTTAGTATTGTAAATAACATCAAGAGAAATTTAGATAAACTCACTTATACATGGCTGTCAATGAGTCTAAAGACCAAGTTTATCTCCTATTTTGCTGCTTACAAAAATAAAAGGAGAAGATCCCTATTTAATCTAAGCAAAAGGAGTGAAATGATAAGTTTTTAATTTTGGAAATTTAGAAATCAGCAAACTTTGAAAGAGAGAGAGAGAGAGAGAGAGAGAGAGAGAGAGAGAGAGAGAAAGTTTCTTTTTATTTGAGTTCCCTCCTCAGAACCCCAGAACTCCAGAAATTGACCACTTGGTAGCATTGATATACTCAGAAGGTAGATCTATTGTTCCTGCTTAGGTGTCTCTCAGACCAACTGGAAGACTCTTCTTATATAATCAGTCCATGGCCCTGCCTTTGGGAGAAAAATCATGTAAGAGTCCCTACAGGAAAAATCTTAGAGGATGGAGACCACTACTTAAGCATGTGCAGGAAACAGGCTTAGTGTGGAGGAGTCAGGGCGAAAGATCATCCCTGTGACAATCATCCTCAATGCCTTGCGAAACCAAGGATAAAACATGCCATATATAATGGGATTAAAAGTGGAATTGAAATAACCCAGCCAGAGGAAGACATTGTACAAATCTTCAGGAGTTGTAAAATTAATGAAAGGGTCTGTGATGGTCAAGACAAAAAAGGGCAGCCAGCACATCACAAACACCCCCATGACTATGCTTAAAGTCTTGGTGGCCTTGCTTTCTTTTTTAGAGGATGCCTTCATTTTGCTTTCTGACCCAACCTGTTTGCCCTTAGGACCTGCGCTGATTTGCTTAGCATGCTTCCTGGCCACTGTGAAAATGTGTATGTAAATCCCCACCATTACAGTCCCAGGGAGAAAGAAAGCTATAATGGAGGCCAGCACCCCCCAGAGCTTGTTAAATATCAACACACACAGGCCCGTGCAGTTAATGGCCGCCACAAAATCTTCAGCACCAATTAAGTTTAATTCTGAGAATACCAGGCCAAAGGCAAAAAAGATGGGCACAGACCAACTGATGAGCAGGAAGACCTCTATGACGGGGATGGTGATTTTGGTGACATAATGCAAAGGGTCACACACAGCATAGTAGCGGTCCACTGAGATGAAGCAGAGATGGAAGATAGAGGTGGTGCAGAGCATGATGTCGCAGCAGCTGTGGACTTTGCAGAAGAGGTCTCCAAAGTACCAGCAGGACTCGATGGACCTGATCATACTGAAGGGCATGACCACACAGCTCAGCAGAAAGTCAGTGGTGGCCATGGAGAGAATGAGGAAGTTGGTGGGGGAGTGGAGCTGTTTGAAGTGGGCAATGGAAATGATCACCACCATGTTGCCCAGCATGGTCATCACTATGGCCACAACCATGACAGCGTACATGGCACACACACTCAGCACCGACCTCACGTTTCTAGAGCATGAATTGTTAACCAAAGCAAAGCAAAATTCTGTTTCTGGGGGGCTCCAAAGATCAAGAGAATTCATTGTCTGTGCCGGTGTGCACTGTGAGATTTTATCAAAAGCACTGTGTTCTCCTTTCTGTAAAATAAGAGGAAAAATAATAAAAGTCATTGGCAGGGAACTTTTCAGAGAAGCCAGACAGCCTGCATTTCCAATCTCAGCAGAACTCCCTGCTGACCAGGAGCATTGCTTCCCATCTTTTAGTGTGTGTGGCATCTCTTTAGTGTGTGGGGATCTTGCAAAACACAGATGCTGATGCTGGCATCAAGGCTGAGAGTCTGTTTCTCACCAGTGCTCAGGAGCTACCAGTTAGTCTAAGCCCCATCCATAATCCAGGAAGAGACTAAATACAACAGAGTGAATATTCTGTCACCCAACATCTAAGTAACCCAGTTAACACTATCTGAGTAAACCAGGTAGATGCATGTTTGGATTGCACTAACATGTTGCCCTTACACAAGTTTCCAAATCCATATGCAAGTCAAGAATTTCCCTGTCTCATTTAAATTAATCAGTTTGCTAGTGCTATAGAACTATTAATGTTCAGTATAAAGAATAACTCCAATCTGAAGATTGTGTTGTTTTTTTAATTTTGTGGGTATTTATAAATGCATTTTCTCATGGCACTTACTACATACAATTCAACTGAGAAGACATTTTTCTCTCCACAGTGAACACATAGTTTTTAGAATTGGGAGCAACATATTAATAAGCTGAAAATATACTAAAGTCTACAAGGTTATACATATATAATCTCAAATGATAGATTCTGTAAATCTCACAGGTACTCTCTTGCCATTTGGCAGCTGCATTCATGTATACAAATGCAAGAGGAGGTTGTCTTGTCCATAGATTTTGAATATTACATTGATAACAATTGGACATACAGATTTGTTCATTTTTTAAACTGTCATTTCATATAATTTATGCTGCTGCCCTTAAAATGTGAAAATAATGGGAACGACTCACACAGAGTATGACAAGTGTGTAATTTGCTTTTCCATTTCCATGTAACCAATGACCAATGACAAGCGTTTGTTAGATCTAGGAGCAGGTTGGGGAAGTGAACTTTGGCCTGAGAATAGACTAACACTCACTGGTCCACTGGGAAAATGAACCCATAAGCACGTCCTCACAGATTTACTTGCAAGAGATTAATGAGAATACAAGCTCCTTTTAAAATAATATTTACAGTATTTGATACTCTAGTTCAACATTTTTTTCTAATGTATATCATTTGAAACTTCACATTATGGCACATTTTATTTTCTCTGGATATAGTAATTCAATTTCTCAGATTAGCATTGTTCTTTAGATATTTTTGAGTAGGACCAATCCAATCAACTATTATACAATTGAGCTGAACTTGAGAAACCAAACAGAGGAAAGTAAAATGTAAGGAAGGCAAGTCTCATTCAGTTTTAATATAAATTGCAGACTACCCATCTTGGGACACAGCACAAGTTATTTGATTAGAAATCACTTTGATTCCTAAATTCTAAAATACTGCATATAATGACACTTTGACTATCTAATGACTTTCTTTAATAAACTCAATTGATCCTACCTTTTTTTCTTTGTTTTTGTGAATTAAAAAAATCTTTAATTGAAAATTATTTTCTCTAAAGATAGCTAATAATTACCCCCAAAAACATATATTTGAAACTACATATTCATATACATTGCAAACCTAAGACAAAATAGACACTCTTCAATAATTATGGTGCAATTTTTGAAGCTTTACGTTTCATTTTTGAAAGTCTGATATCAGAATAGTTTGATAAAATTTAACTTTCTACTTGTAAAAGGAATTTCACTGCTTACTTTTTATTTTTGAAACAGGTTATAAAACAGTTGCTAAAAATTAGTAGTATTAATTAATGCATGGTTACACATAACAGGAATTTAAACATTTAAGTACCAGATTACGATAAAAGTATATAGCAAATGTGCATTTCTTTGAAAGATTATACATGAATTAATTGCTAAACTAAGCCCTTATTTTAGATTCTTGCCCTAACATTACCAAGAAATAAGGAAATCAAATATGTGTGCTGAACTGCTACTTTGTTAATAAGAAAAGGAAGTTGTCATGAAATTAAATACAAGTGAGGTTTTTGTTTCTTATTTAAAAACTTAACAGAATAGAGATTCCTTTCCTTTGGAAATTCATCACAAAAAAAGATCCAGTAAAATTTTAATGAAATAAAATAAAGCCAATTCCTCTATAACATCTCACTTTTATCATAGAATTGTGTTGTTATGCCATTATTTTTCTTTTTTATCAGTAACAGTTTAACAAATGACCAAATTAATGACAGCATCCCAAACAAAAGCACAGAAAATTGTTCATTATTTTGCCAGGATGTGAAAACAAATACTTACTGATAATTCTGGAGACGGGCAAGAATTGCATTGCCTTTTAGTTCAAAGCTAATTCTTAAAGGAGAAAGATAACAGAATAAGGGGCGCAGCGGTTGAGCGCTGGGTTGCAAAGCTGCCGCAGCCTCTGCATCACCGGTTCAATCCCGGCTGCTCCCCGGCCACCGGAGGAGGGTCCCACATGGTGCGCAGACCTCTCCTGCCGCCCGCTGCTCCCCTCAGCAGTGTACTTCGGTCCTTCTGCCTGCTCTGCTCCCCGCTCTGGCTCTGGTGAATTCTCTCACCCTCCCCCGCTTCTGAGTGTACCCAGTGCTTGTATAAATAAATAAATATATCTTTTTTTTAAAAAAAAAAAAAAAAAAAAAGATAACAGAATAAGAAAAGAGACAAAGGGTTCTGAAATGATTTTGAAAATATAAATTTTCTCAGAATTTTGGGGAAAAAATGAAAAAGAAGACATGTGATAATTTTTCCCCAAGTATTAAATGCCTAAAGTTGTGTCGACATTCATATGTATTTCCCTCAAATTTAAAGGTGAGGGTTTAACAAGCTCAATAATATAATGTAAATAAGGGAGAAAAAAACTAAGAGAAGACACCTCATTCCTGCTTTTCAGGCAGATTTTTTTTCTCTTATAAGTTATATAACTCAAACATTCCAGTCTGAGACTATTTCTGTAAAAATAATGATTTCCTCTTACTTTGGTAAATCTCAGTGATATGTAGTTTCTTAGGTAAGGGCGATTAGCTGCAAAGTAGGTTTAAGAAATTTCTCTGCTTTCATTTCCTCTCTGTAATTTGAATGATTTTTTAAATTTTCAAATTATTTTTATAGACCACTATTTTAAGTTTCATTCTATCAACATGCAAAAAAAAAATGTGATTTTTTTTTCACTTTAGAAATATATCCTTAAGTTTTCTAGAATTTGTTTCACTAGGAAATTTGGAGCTAAAATCTTTGAAAGGTGACTTTTCTGTGTTGCCAAGCTTTCTTACCAAGCAAATGTGCATCATGCTCCATGGCTCATTTCCTCACTGACTTGTCTCCAGAAAAGACACTTAGGCCCAATCTCTAACACAGGTTCTTGGCAGGCTGTGCCATCACCGGCATTTATACACAGGACATGCCTCTTGAGATTGAATTACCTGCATCCTGCTTTTGACAGGTGTGTCCTTTAACAACCTTCAGTGTTATTACAGCAAGAGATTACAGCAAATCACCTGAGTATTGGCTCTGAGAGGTGAATCAGTTTAGTGATATGGTCCCTTCAGAGGAACGATGTGGGACAGCCTCACACAATGGGAATGGTGAGAAGAATAAAAAGATGAAAGAAAGGCAGAAAGGAAAGGAAGAAAGTGAAGGAGGAAGAGAGGAAGGATGGAGGAAGGAGAAAATTTAGCTCAAATCCAACATATACTCACTCCACTTAATACCAAATGCTAGATGTTTTCAAACAGTTCTTTTTCTTTTAATTGAGGTAACATTGGCTGCACCATTATAAATGATTTGGAGGTATAGCATCACCTACTTCAGGTGTCATCACACCACCAAACACACAGGATGCTCCACCATAGTTCATTGTGCTCCTCTCCACGTGGTTCTCTCTCCATCTCCCTCTTCTAGTCTCAGTTTTACATTTAGATGTCTAGGGTTGGTTATTGATCTGGTTCTATCTGACCCTTTGTTTTGCTGCTCTGTATTATACATATAAGTGATATCATATATTATTTTTCTTTCTCCTTCTGACTTACTTCAGTTAACAGAATATCTTCCAGTTCCATCCCTATTGTATCAAAGGCAAAAAAAATTATCTTTTTTTATGGCTGAGTAGTATTCCATTGTTTATATATACCAGATCTTTCTTCATCCACTTTTCTGGATTAAAGCTCTTATGTTATTTTATAGTTTGGCTAGTGTAAATAGGATTACAGTGAACACAGGAGTACATATATCCCTTTGAATTAGTGCCTTAGTATTCTTTGGGTAGATACCTAGAAGTGGATTTGCTGAATCATATTTTGAGAAACCGCCATACTGTTTTCCATATGGTTTGAACAAGTCTACATCCCCACCAACAGTGTATAGAGTTTCTTTTTCTCCACATTGTTGCCAACATTCATTTCTGGTCTTTTGATATGAACCATTCTCATAGGTGTGAGCTGGTTATCTTGTTGTGGTTTTGATTTGCTTTTCCCAGATGCTAAGTGATGACAAGCAGCTTTTAATGTGGCTATTATCCATCTTTATATCTTCTTTTTTTTTAAGATTTATTTATTTTTTATACAAGAACCGGGGTACAGGCCAGATGCGCGGGAGGGTGAGAGGATTCACCGGAGACAGAGTAGAGAACAGAACAGGCAGACTGACGAAATATGCTGCTGAGGCAAGCAGCAGGTAAGACAGGAGAGGTCTGCTTCGCCATGTGGGATCCTCGCCGTCTGGCTGGGATCAAACCCGCACTGCAGAGGCTGCTTTCAGCTTCACAGGTGGCGCTCAACTGCCTGCGCCACGAGGTAGGCCCCACCATCTTTATATCTTCTTTAGAGAAGTGTCTGTTTAGAGTCTTTGTCCATTTTTTGATTGGGCTATTTCTTTCCTTTTGGTAAGTTGTATGAGTTCTTTGTAGATTTTGGTTATTACTC